CCCCCACCCCCACCCCCACCCCCTGCTTCTCAGGGTCCTCCTGGGAGCCCAAGCCCTGATTCTGGCCTGCTGAGAGGGGGTTTGGTTGCCAGGCTTGGGCCCCCTTTTCTTACCCCCAGAGATGCCCCCCCAGCTCTGCCCAGCTGGGGTGTTGCAGGGGGGCTCATCCCTACCTCCGTGCCTGGTGGCTGGCAGCTCTTGGTCCAGAGAGGGGTTTGTCCTGGTGAAGTGGCGCAGATCCCCGTTTCCTCCCCCTTCCGCCCCAGGAGGGCGGGTGATTCAACTAGGGGAGCTGGGTCTCCCTGGCACTGTGATGCCCCCAGGACCTGTTTGTGGTCCCCCATGACCAAGGCTTCCCACCCCCCATCCCCGGGCCCAGGTGTGCCTGCACTTTCCCTCCAGAGTCCCGGGCCTGGCCTCTGGCTCCAGGGGCAGGAGCTGCTGATACCGTTCTCTCCCTGCCGGTCACCCCTATTCCCACTGCTGCCCGCAGGGGCCAGGCCGCTGCCCCTGGAAGCCAAATATTTACCTTGCCCGCATCCCTCTGTCAGCCTTGGAGTGGACCGGGGTTTAGGCTAGAGCATTGCAGGGGATTTTTGGGTAGCCCCATTGCTACTCCCTTGCTGGAGGAAGGGGCAGGCCCGGGCCCCCAACCTGAGACAGGCCACGTCAGGCATCCTTGGTGCTGTGAGCCTGTCTCCTTCCCTGGGAAGGGGCTGTGTGTCCCCCATCCCTTGGCCCTTCTCCAGGCCATGGGCTGGTGGGCTCGCAGCCTTGCCCTGATGGGTGTGTTGGTGCCAGGGCTCGCACAGCAGAGCAGGGGCTCTGGGCAGGTGTGGAGCAGGGCTGGCAGTGCCAGGCCAGCGCTCTGGCCCCGCTGTTGGGCCAGTGGGGAGGGTCCCCAGTGTCAGTTGTTCTGGGTGCTGTTGGGGGTCCAGACATGGCTCCTGGAGCTCACTGAGGGGTGGCTGCCCCTCCGCAGCACTGAGCCAGCCTGGGGGGTTGTCACTGTACAACTGGGGAGCGGAACAGAGTCGCCTGAGCCAGGCTCACTCCAGTGGCTGCGAGCAGCCTGGACAAGGGGGTTTGGTGGCAGCGTCTCGTTAGTGGGAGTGTTGGGGTGCAGGGTGGAGCTGAGCCTGGCAGAGGGGGGCAGACGGTGCCAGCCCGACGTCCCGGTCATGCCTGGCTCGGCTTGCCCCTTGCAGCCTCCTCTGGTCCAAGCCATCTTCAACCGTGACATTGAGGAGGTGCGGTCGCTGTTGAGCCAGAAGGAAAACATCAATGTCCTGGTGAGTGCAGGAGGACTCCCCAGTGTCTTTTCTTTGGGGAAGCCATCAGACCGTTGTCCTCATGCACGGTGGCTGCGGCCCCCATCCCGCGTGGTGCCCCCACAGGGCTGAGGGGACTGGGGCCCTGGGTATGACGCGTTGCTCTCTGCATGGAAGTGAAGAGCTTCAGGTCAAAGGCGCAGTCAGTGTGTCAGCCTGGGGCTCTCCACGCATGTCCAGGAAGCCCGGCTCTCAGCGGGATCTGGCCTGCGCCCTTGGGGGTCTGCGGCACTGAGGCAGCTGGAGACCTGCCCTGTGCTCTCACGCTCACCCTTCGGCGCATGCTGCCCTGTGAGGGGGGCCTGCTCTGTGGCCGTCTCCCTCGGGCCATCCCCTGGGGTGGAAGTGGAGGCTGTGGGGCAGGGATGTCCCCCCATTATAGTTGGGGCCCGTCTCTCCCACATAGGACCAAGAAAGGCGAACGCCACTGCATGCTGCTGCCTACGTAGGAGATGCTGCCATCGTGGAGCTCCTCATCTTGTCAGGTATGGCGGCTGCTGGCCCTACCCTGCCCCCCCACCCAGGGGTGTCTGGGTCTTCCAGGCCCCAGCACTGTCCTGAGCAAAGGTGTGGGGGGGCAGGCTGCAGCACTGGGGTGGGGATTGGAGGGGGGCACATTGGGACTCAGCTCTGACCCTGCCCTGGGTTCCCCTTGCCCCCGCCCAGAGCTCAGCCCCCGTCTGCCTCCCCAGGTGCTAACGTGAATGCAAAGGACACGGTTTGGCTCACGCCGCTGCACCGCGCCGCGGCTTCCCGCAACGAGGTAGGTGCCCCCCGCCTCCCCCAAGCCAGCGGAGACCCTGCAGGTTGCCCCCCCCCACCCCGCCCTGCCCCGGCCCAGCCCGCAATGCAGGACTTGCTTCCTCACAGCCTGGCCTCTTCTCCATGCTCGTGGCAGGAAGCCCAGGCTCCAGCTGCCAGGCTCTGGCCCCATGGGGGTGGTGGAGGCAGGGAGCAAGGGGGTGTCCAAAAGCAGGCCCGCTTCCTCCACGGCTCCTGCCCTGCCCCATTGCAGCCCCCTCCCCAGCTCAGCCCAGTTCGTGGCCCCAAGGCCACAGGGAGCAGGGCATGGTGGGACTTGGGCACGTGGTGATGCCAGCTCCCTCTCCCCTCCCTGCAGAAGGCACTTACCCTCCTCCTGAAGCACTCGGCCGACGTCAACGCCCGCGACAAATACTGGCAGACGCCACTGCATGTGGCCGCTGCCAACCGGGCCACCAAGTGCGCCGAGGCCCTGGCCCCTCTGCTGAGCAGCGTCAACGTGGCCGACCGCACTGGGCGCACAGCACTGCACCACGCCGTGCACAGCGGTCACATTGAGGTGAGCCCACCCCTGCTCCAGTGCCTGGGGGCAGTGTCTGGATCTGGGGGACCCCAGAGGCAGCCATTTGTGGCCAGCCGCCTTGCGCTAGGTGGTGTACGTGCCCCCCGAACACAGCAGGGAGGGGGGGAGCTTGACGTGCCACGGTAGCCTGGCTGGACACTGGACTGGGTCCTTTGACCCCCACCCATGTCTCCCTGCTGCAGATGGTGAACCTGCTCTTGAACAAGGGGGTCAACCTGAGCACGTGTGACAAGAAGGAGCGACAGCCCATCCACTGGGCCGCCTTCCTAGGTACGTCCTCCCCTGCTCTCTCCCCACCCTGGCCTCTGCTGGGTGGGCTGGACCTGAGCTCATGAGCGGCCCTGTCACTGCGTGGCTCGATCGTGGTGCGGGCTCGTGCCTACCACGA